AGTGTTTGGGATCACACGTTAAAAGGTAAGGCCCCCGTCATTCCTTGCTCGCACAAGACTTTCGAAGACTTTTGAGGGTTGCTCGTAAGGGGGCAACCGAATGACGGATAGAACAAATTTTAGAACAAAAATTTTTAGTACTTTAAGCACGAGCGGAGCAGAGCGGAGCGAGTGTTTAATAAACGAGTGTCTAGAAGAGTTTATAAACGCGTTACATACTATGTTTTTTCTACGAACTCCGAAAATTACATTAACATACCTGCTATTCCTGCTAACCTATACAAAATGATTCGAAAGGAATGGGAATTGAGAACATAATACATGCAACCAGCGAGACACGTATAAGTGATATTGGTTGTAGATGTGTCCAGTCCATTGCTTAATAACCTTTGTTTCACGTTTATTGTCATGCATTGCGCAGAATAAATAAATTTTTCTCAAAGATGGATGCTGCTTCATCTACATTTCGCATATATTTTTGATGAAGAATTCTGATACAAACGAATAATGTTTGAATAATTCTGATACGAAATTTGAAAATAACAGTTGACAGTGAATACAATTGATAGGCCAGACATGTCTCAAATTACTGAAGCTGTGTTTTTTTTTATCGCTTGGAGCGCACGAAAGGGAATCCCTATAATGTTCAAAGAACATCGTGCGTTCCTAGGGAGGATAGGGATAGGAGGTAGGTATTGGAATTTTTTTTGGTAATATGTTTAAGAAATCGTGTTGCCATGGTAACGTGTTTAATATTTCGAATAAATCACAGATCGTCAATTCGTGATTAATCGATCATTTAGCGTGGTACATATCCGTACGATAATTGCCATTTTAGTTATGTGAGTAGAAAAAGGTAATTAATTGATTTGATGTGATCCGATTGATTTTAAAAAAATGCAAAATACTACGAAACGCCATAATCAAATGTATTTCTCCCTGTAACTCGAAAAATACCTAAAACATCATAATTTCAGAAAAATTAACAAAAAGACATTTTCCACATGAAATGTGCATGTCATTAGATTATAGATATCTAGTTATATGACATTTATAACCCTACGTCCAAGGTAATGATAATTGTTTGCTCTTCACGTTATAAAAACCGATTGTTATGGAACTCCATTTAAGACATAATTTTACGATTTCATAATCGGACTAGTACTTTCAAAAATATTTGATTTCGGAAGAAGCTGAAATACTCAGGCGGGTCACTTTATTTGTCCATCTACTTAACTCACATATCAACATTGTGAAATGAAATTCTTCTTCTGTAACAATGTTACAACATGTAACATGAAATATGGACCGTACAGCAATACTCTTGTACATTGAATACATACCTTTTGAGGGCTTAGTCCATTGTTTTCTTCCTAGTTGTTTAAAACAGTTCCCTTAATATTATTATTATTAATATTCCTTATATGTATAGATGGCAATTTCCCTCAGCAATAGGATACAATGTTTTGATCCCAACACAATACAGAGTAATGCAAATTTAATGGTACACTATTGATAAATCAGAAACGGAGAGAAATGCAAACTAGATTAAATTATGAAAAAAATCCGTCATTTTATGACCATCTGAAATATCGAAAGAAATCGAGGATATCTCTCATATTTGCTGAAATATCCTGAAAAAAACTGAAAACCATCGATTTTTTAAGTTATCAATAACTTTTCAACTATTACTGTTAGAGTATTGGAATTTGGTACACTTACTGAAGTTTGCATGCTCAATTCAACGGTGACATGAAAAAATTTCTAGGCACACTGGATTCGAAGATATCGAAGCCAAATTTGATTTTTTCAATGGCGGCCATATTGGATTTTCACATCATCGGATAGATCATAAAATTACCAATTCATCGAAGTATCACACTGGACCGTTAGTACCAATCCATCTTTGTCTAAACATCTGACACAATGTCTGAGAAACCAATGCAGTGTTGTGTGCAGGGGCTCCATCTTGTTGAAACCACATTTGACTAATTTGGTTAATGGGAAATTCATCCAATACGGGTTAAATTCTATCTCTCAGGAGATTTCTATAGTTTTCTCTGTTCAGGCGATCTTCAGGAAAAAATGGACCCAGAATTCGACCATTGAAGATGCCACACCAGACGTTAACCGAGAATCTTATTTGATGACGTGATTCTTTCTTGAGCTTTGGGTTTTCTGTGGACCAAATATGTTCATTGTGACGGTTAATGATGCCATTATTCGTAAATAGGCACTCATCAGACCATAACACTTTTAACGGAAAATCTATACCATCATTCATCCTATTCTGTAGCCATTCACAAAAAAAGGTTCGCCTGGCAAAATCCTCCCGATTGATTCCTTGCACTACATGGTAGTGATAGGGATTGTTTTTTTTTCTTGAGTATTCTACTAGCTGTAGATTGATTGATATACTTTGTCTTGCAATTTCATAAAGAGATATCTTTGGATTGATGTGGACTTGTGCTAGGACATTTATAATGTTATGATTCATGAATTATAAAATGTTTTATGAAACAATTAAAAAATGTATATCCATATCTCACCTTGAACGCCTTGCTGCGAAACTACCATCTAGTCTAATCTTCTGTGCTACCCTCTGAAAATAATTTCGCGAAGGCTGAATTCGTTCAGGGTATACATTTTTGTACATTTGACTAGCTTGCGTAGGATTTCGAAAACAGCGAATGTAAACATCGTACATATCACTCTTTTCTTCAATACTGTAAACGTTCACCATCTCAATTCGCTTTCATTGAATATGAAAACAATGATAATTTTTTCAATTGTTAGGATGACAGTTCTGATCGGAATTACACATCAGCTCGCGAATGTTATTTGCAAATAGACTTACGGAGACTTCTGACTATTGTATCATTCTAGTATGACACGAATACAATGATTATTCTAGCACCATCGATGCTACATCATAGATTTTACTTGATATTTTCATTTTTTTCTGTTTTTTGATATCTCCTACATAAAACATACAAGTGTGATACGATGAATTGGTAATTTTATGATCTATCCGATGGTGTGAAAATCCAATATGGCCGCTATTGAAAAAATCGAAATTGGCTTCGATATCTTCGAATCTAGTGGGTCTGAAATTTTTTTTGTCACCGTTGAATTTAGCATGCGAACTTCAGTAAGTGTACCAAATTTCAATACTCTAACAGTCATAGTTGAACATTCATTGATAACTTAAAAAATCGATGGTTTTCAGTTTTTTCAACGACGTCAAGTAGGTACCGAATCTTAATATACCTAATTAACAAACTCAACAATGTTGGAGTCTGAAAAATTTATAAAAAAACATCAATGAAAATCAAAAAGAGAAAAACCTCGGAGTGTCCCTATTTGAAATACAACGAACTGAAACGAAAAAAAAAATCGATGACACCAGAGGGAGGCTAATATTCCTATGGTAAAAGGAGCCAGGATACTAATAGATATTTAATAGTTTTTTCGTCAGAGCTCTGTACATTTTTGAAATTCACGATATTTCATAAAATGTAAACCGCTGTAAAACGTGTGACGAAATCTACCGTGACCAAACCAATGCAACCATATAAGATTCAACTTAAGTATCTATTCTCTATTTCTGTAAGACAAGTGCAAGAATATTTCCGATTGTCTTGTCATTTTCATCACAATAAGAAATGCGTTTTCAGGCAATGGCACTAGTTGGATGCATTACCACTTGAACCTTTCACAAAATCAGAATCTGGTTTATTGGAGTTTATTACTCATACTGAATACCTACTGCAGATAACATAGATCACGTTACATAACTGAAGAGTCAGAGAATTATCTTTGAATATTCGCAGTATTTGTGTAGGTTTTGAAGGTGAAGGTGACCGGTCAGTGTGGCAGACGAGGTTGAGGTTAGGAGGTTATTTTCATTTTTTCTTGATATTGTAACGAGTAAAACATTCGCTATATCAGTGATAACGAGCCAGAAGAAACTGGCAACGTCTCAAAACCGTGGAATCTAGAAACGAACCATAGTGAAGAACTTGAATCCTCGGGAAAATTCCTTATGGAAAATGACTAAGCGACTTAGAAGAAAACTCAAATCCATGCCCTCCTTGGATGGTGGTCCCGAGGAAGCGGTGTCAGATTCACAGAAGGTGGAAATGCTTGGGAGGCACTTCCAAAGTATAAATAAAATAAATAATAACACCACCCCACAACAACAGCAGATATTGGAATTGGCAGCCAGATATCGTAGCATCCCTTTGACCCGTTCAACTCTGAACAAAGTACTCACTACACTTAGAGAAATCATAGATATTATTTAGAGGATAAAAATAAACAAAGCTCCAGGGTCTGACGGAATTGATGTGATTCTTCTAAAAACCCTACCTCGTACAGCAATAGTACAACTGCACTATATAATAAACGCGATAATCAAGTATCAGAACTACACGGAGTCTCTAAAAACAGTAATTATAGTCGCAATACCGAAACCAGACAAGAACCCTGAACTGCCAGGTAGCTACCGCCCCATCTCTCTGCTTAGCATGAAAGCCAGAGGGATAGATTCTATATAATGCTTGACACTCTTACTGAGGACCTGAGTGTGATCCCTCCCGAACATTTCGGGTTCCGAAAGGGACATAGATCCAGACGCATCTGGACAGAAATAATTAATTTATCAAGAAAACGCGCTGATAACATGATACACCAACCTTTACGTGTCAAACACACTGAGGTGAGAGACAAAGCCTCCGTGAGATACCTGGGAGTAATACTCGACAGGCATATGAACTTTCAGGAAAACACAGCACTACGATTAAACAAAGCCAAAGGTACTAGATACACTCGAGTGGCAGATATGCACGCACAATGTCATGATCTGCCAATGATAAAAGAATACATACTGAACATAGCACAAACATTTTATAAATTCCTATTAAACAGTAAAACAAACTGAATTAATCAGAAATCAAACGCACATTTTCAAAAAAAAATAAGCTTGAGACTAATCTGATCTACTGGAAGACTAACGGCTCCTGGCCGACCAGACGACTGCCGAGCATGCCCCTACCTAGTGGGGCCACCAGAAACCAAATGCCAATTGACCACAATAAGCAATATACACTTGATCGCGCAAGCACCAAGTGCGACCTCGAATTCTAGTTTGTTTAATCCCTACAACTCTCCGAACCTCATCCCACCCCCAAACCCACCCCGAAGGCCGCTGGCAAAATGAAGCATCTAGTATGATTTTTTAATTCTATTTTCCACATAAAAAACAAGGCAATTTAGAGAGATCTAGAAAACAAGCAATCTGCACATTTGAATTACCGCTCGTCCCGAGCAACTCGCCTGCATTAACTACGAGAAGGCCATAGTTCTAGGACGTCGTTCTCCTCTGAGACCCTTTCGGGACCCACGGAGAGCTTCTGACGTGTGATATGTGTGACGTTTTATTTATGTTTTACACTTACATGTTACACCTATTGATATGATCCACCCTATTTGAGCAACACTCAAATATGACCAATGGTCTATATCCCTTCAGGAAGACAGGATCGTGACATGGTGGAAGCGCTAGAGCTTTTATCCTTGAGTCTCATTCCTCATAATAGACTTTTTTTTTTCTGATCATCAAATTTTTCCAATTATACAGGGTGTCCCGAAATCAGCCTGCCAAACTTCAGCAGCGGCTTTTGTGATAAAAAATAGGAAGAAAAGTTCTAATGAACATGAGACGAGAAATGTCTCCTAAGGGAGCTACGGCCCCCTGAAAGGGGCTCCTGAGGATGCTTTTTCTTGAGTATTTCCGAAACTCCATGTGATAAAAAGATGCAATCTGGTACAAGAACTGAACTTTCTGTGCCCAATGCAGTGAAAATAAAATCATTTCAATACTTCACTCAGGAGTATATAATACAGGGTGAGAGTACATTAAATATTGTTCAAATTTTTGAATGCATATTTCTTGAAAGTTCAATTTCTGATTATGAAAATCCACACCTCTTTACAGAAAAAAGGTACTCTTGTTTCATAACGATAAGATGTATCATTATCGAGTAAAAGCGATTTAAAAATATTGTGATATCTCAGATATTATGTATAACATTGCAATGAGTCGTAGTGGAAATGGAGAGAAATGCACAAAAATTTAAGTAGTTCTTTATCATCATTTTTCTATTCTTCGCGCTTTTATGAGATTGTTTGGTGAAAAGAAAGTAGTTGACTTTTTTACAGCAACAATAATTCGAAAATTGGCAACGTTATGCATGAGATGTGAATGTATCAATATTTAGTTGACTTTTTTACAGCAACAATAATTCGAAAATTGGCAACGTTATGCATGAGATGTGAATGTATCAATATTTTTAAATCGATTTCACTCTAAAATGGTACATCTGATCGATGCGGAACACGAGCACTTTTTTTGTGAAACTGTGTGAATTTTCAGAATCCGAAATTGTCGAAAGAAAAATGCACACAAAAAAGTTTGAGCAATATTTAATGTAGTCCCACCCGGTATCATACACACACCTGAATGAAACCTTGGAATAATTTTATGTTCACCGAATTGGGCATAGGAAGTTTAGTTCTTGTACAAAATTGCATCATTTTATCGTGGCGTTTCGGAAATATTCAAGAAATATCATCTGCTGGAGCCCCCTTTCAGGGGGCCGTAGCTCCCTTAGCAGACATTTCACGAATCATGTTTATTTGAACTTTTCTTCCTATTTTTGATCGTAAAAGCCGCCGGTGAAGTTAGGCAGGCTAATTTTGGGACACCTTGTATATTCTATTCTGAGGCACTAGTTGAGAGGGTTATATGAAAGTAATTCAGTATGGTAATAACAAAGTACAAAATACATTAAAATTAGAATTTTTTTGTTTTTTCAATAATTTGATAACAATTAAGCTTGGAAAGTTGACAGTCATCCCATTTTCATTCAAAGATTTGATATAAAGCACCAGACCAGACTCAAGACGCTTAAAACTTATCTCAGAACTTTGTTTCTTGTTTCACTAAGTGGGGCTCGAACCCATGCCTCGGTGGGAGTTCCCTTACGAAGTCAGCGCCTTTGCACTCTCGACTACCGAGCCGTCCAATTGCTAGTTATTTCGGCAACGTCGATAAATGTTGTTATGCTCTCATTCGTTGTTGGGGAATGTATCAACATATATCACTATCAGTGCAACATTGTGTGTTACGTTATCGCAATCTGGAGCTTTTAGAAGGTGCCGATTTTGATTATTGAAAAAAAGTATGTATGATGATTTGAAATAACGAATGATAGCATCAAATCCTATTTATACTCGGAATGATCATTATACAGGGTGTCCCTGAAAGGAATTCACAGAAACTTACCACATATTCCTCAGACTATACAATTCGATACAAGCAAACTTACCTCAGTACAAATTTGCTTAGTTTGGGCGCTAGACGGGTGTGAAGTTACAATTTTCAAATAGGTTTTGCTTCATAACTCGACTCATGATATATTATCCACATTTGGTACATTAGCAATATTCATTGTACCTTTTTTGTAGTAAACAAGTTATGCAATCAAAATTTTATATTTTCCTTTGGCGTAGAAGTTTCAGATGTTTATTCACTGAAAAAACCAAGTTCAACACCCATTGAATGATATTTATGATAATTATAGTAATGGTTTCATTGCCCAATAAAACTGTGCCAACATACCAAATTCGAGTACAAATTCAACTTGTGTGTAAAATCCCATTCAATGATGAGAAATCCTGCATTTTTATTGAAAAGAACTTTGAAGGTAACACTTACTATATCTGATTTTGCACTGTTGGATAGCTTCATTGAAACCCTGGCATAATGTCAGGTCCGACTGTGTATTAGCACACTGTAAAAATTGTTTAATTTCCCAAGCACATGGTCCAGATTGTTCTGCAGTTCTATCTCCTGCATATTGTTGTTGAGAGGCAGAAGCGGGTGGTGCTTGCTGAGCCGGAGCATCCGAGGATCCTCCACTAAACATCCCTTGAATTAATCACATAATGAGTAAATTTTAATAAAGTCAATCACAAATAAACGGGCTGTTTTTAAATGTCATGTGAAGGGATCTCGTAAACCGTAAGAGATACAGAGTCGGTTAAATTATGGCAAAGTTGCGCATTTTCATGCTTAATAAAATACCGTTTCAAAATTTGAAAAATCCTAAATGCTTCCAAAGATTTTTGAAAAAAAAACAAATATCCGCGATTTCATTTCTATTTTCTTTATGACCTATTCGTATAAATTCAACAAAACAAATTACACATTCGCATTGCTACTTTTTCTGTTCTACAAGATGGTGTTATTAGACGTTCAAACGGCAAATGTCATTGATGAGAATTTTTCGAATGAGTGCGATGCACCGTTGATATTAGGAAATCAAAAGCTCAAAATCCAGAATAAAAAATCCAGGGGCGTATTTAAAAATACAAAGTTGACGGTGGCAGCTATGTAATTTATTTTTAAAACATCTATTCAAATAGTCATAAAAACTAGAAATGAAATTGGAAGTATTCGGAATTTTCAGAATTTCAAAACGACATTTTTACGCATAAAATTGCACAACTTCGCCATGATTAAAGCGACCCTGTATCTCTACGGTTGACGAGATCCCAAAGATGAGGTTCTAATTCTAGCCACCCTGTACATATTGAGGGAGGTGATCCCTTGGTTCATTTAAAGAATGAAAACTCCTATAAACATATGTCTGGAATGGCTTCGTTTTCAAGATACAGGCCGTCAAAGTTGAAAATATGCATAGTTATAGTTTATCCAAAAACAATTGCAGAATCTTGTGCCGCACCTGCAGTCACTTCAAAGGAAACTTCAAACACGCCGACGCCGCACAGTGCGAGGTATTCTGCAATTGATAATGGATATACTTTACTTCTTTTGTCTACCTTGTAAAAATGTTCGCAATGGCAAAATTTAGTATTTTATGTGACTAACATAATGCGAAAATTTCATAATGATACATAGGTATTATGGTTATCCAGTAATCTCAACGGATGTCTTGAATGGAGTACACAGCATTTACATCAACATTTTGAGCCTGGTCACGTTTTTTCTCGGAAACGGTGCGTCTTATCCAGTTTCAAAATTGGATGGCCTTTCATAGTTTTGTATTCATTTTGAACATTTTTCTTCCTTGCTCATTTTGTAGTGAAAAAACATCGAAAAAACACAAAACTGTAAATCCGATTGACTAGTTCATTTGCTTTATTTGATCAGCGGTTGCCTAGTAATCGAATAAAACTTATTATTTTTCATCAACTTCAACACCCTGTAAATTGAAAACGAATCAAATTAGGACAGCTGCAAATTGCTTCAAATTTGAAAAAAAAAACTTCACAAACGATAAAATTTCTACAAAATCCTTAACCATACGACATGTTTCGCAAAAACAGTAGATTCTTCAAGTGAAATACGTACAATAAACTCAGTTTTGTGCTATATTCAGCAACTGTGTTAGCGAAACATGTCGTGTGGTTGAGAATTTTGTGGAAATCTTATCGTTTGTGGTTTTTTACATTTACTATGGATTTCCATGAAGTAACGGCCGAGTCATTTTGAATCAAATTACCAAGAGGATCGATCACCTTCTTAACAAGTAAGTAAGACAATCAAACTGATCAGCAAAATAAACGTCGTGGTCCAAAATATAGGCTGATTTCAAAATCGAATTATTCATGGATTCCATAACTAATTTCCGAGCTGATTTCTATTCGGTTTTCACAGTTGGCTAGCTCAGTCTTCTAGTTTCGTCAGAGCAATATGAGAGAGACTAGAAATATTCGATGAACGATCTACAGGATACAGGATGATAATTGAAGTAGTGTAAAATTTTCGGTGTCGTTACTGTTGTGTATTAGACTAGGAATTAATACACCATTGGTATACTACTTAACACAGATTTATTAATTAACGATAAATCTAAAGACGGGCATTGTTCTACCTCGAACATACATAACACATGCTACAGCCGTCACAGGTTGACACTGTTGACAGTTGGACATTCCGTGTTGCCAACCTATCTTGTAGTACCAACTTAACCTAGAAGTCTGTTCGTAACAAGTATGTGTTCAAAATACATAGCATTTTCTTCCCCTTCTTTAAAAAGACTACAGATAATCTCGAGTTATAAATCCAATTTACTAGGTATTTTGACAACACGACCTGATCTGATAATATTTTTTGAAGTTGACGGAGTACCATGTCCTTCAAATTTATTTGACCTTTCAGTACAACTTTTTGACTCAGGAGCGTATTGAGGTTCGATAATAGGACTTGGTACTTTTTCAACATGAGGACTCATGTTACTATTTGATACAGGAGTACTAGGTACAACATTATTTGTCACAATAGTGTTATTTGACATGATAGGGTTATTAGATACAATGGGGTTATTCGACACAATAGGGTTATTTGACACAATAGGGTTATTCAAAATTTCACTCTTACTAAACATAGGATTTGATTTACTTAGCCTAATGTCATTAATATTATATAACTCAATATTGTCACCACATTTAACTAAATAAGTGCTATAGCTCATACACCTAACAACTTTACCTTTTTGCCAGAGATTTGTATATCTATTCTTTACAAAAACATCGTTTTCTGAATACAACTTAATTTTTTGCAAAATGTCAGGTTGAAGGGACTTTTGTTTCTTTGACCATGGTTTTAGCAAATCAAATCTAGTACGAGGACGAATTTTAAAAACTGTTTCAGCTGGTGACAATCCTGTGGAAGTACTTGGAGTATTTCTATGTACAAATAAAAAGTTTTCTAATCTATTTAAGATAGTGGTTTCATTTACATTTTCTCCCTCTCCAAATAAAGCTTTTTTGAACCCTTTTTTATTGTTTGGACTCCTTTTTCTGCTAATCCATTGCTTTCTGGATGTTTTGGTGGAATTCGAATGAATTTTATTCCGTTTGCATGACAGAAAGAAGTAAATTCATAAGAATTACCAAATGGTGGACCATTATCGGATACAAGTTCTACTGGTAATCCAAATACAGAAAAAACTTGCTTCAACTTTAAAATTGTTTCTCTCACGTTTGTGCCATCATTCATAAGTTTAACTTCGCACCAACCAGACTTATCATCTACAAGAATCAAAAATGTGAAGTTATCTTTTTTGAAAAAATCGACATTTACTCGGTAGAAATTATTAGGAGCAGTTGGCCAAGGAAGTAATACTCCGCTGTTTGAAAAATTTTGGGTTTGTTGGCATACCTCACAAGAATTGATATACTGCTCAACGTCTTCATTAATACCAGGCCACCAACAATAAGACCTAATAAGCATTTTAGTTCTTACTATTCCTATATGTTGCTCATGGAACAAACTTAAAATATCCTTTTGCAGTTGTTTTGGGATTACAACTTTATTACCAACTAGGACACACCCATTATCAACAGAAAATTCTAATTTTCTTTTAAAATACGGTTTCAAATTGTAATCATTTGTAGAATTTGGCCAACCAGTTAGAGTAAGATCAAGGACTTTGGACAAAATTATGTCTTTTTTTGTTGCTATGGCTATTTTTTCATAAGTGATAGTTACCTCATAGGATAAGCTAAATGAAAATATTGCATCAGAGATTTCAGTTTGACTGTTCATTGGTAATCTTGAGAGACCATCAGCATTCGAAATTTCACTACCTTTCTTGTAAATAATGTCATATTAATTTATAAGCTGATAATGTTATGGCCCAACGAGTGATTCTAGCTGCAGCTGTAACAGGAATATTCTTATTTTTTCCAAAAATGAACTGGAGAGGTTAATGATCTGAGATCAAGGTAAAATTTCGTCCAAAAATGTATTTGTGAATTTTTTTTAAGGAAAATATTATTGCTAAACTTTCCCGTTCTAAATTTGAATATTTCTTTTCATTTTCGCTAAGAGTGGAGGAAGCAAATAAAACCGGTTTTTCAACACCATCGATTTTATGGCTAAGCACTGCGCCAACCCCGTATCCACTGGAATCACACGTTATATATATATGAAGTGTTGGATCCTAATGTGTTAAGACATCATGAGAAATAATCAATTTTTTACTATCCTGAAAACATTTTTCACATTCACTTGTCCATGTATACTCAGTATTACCCTTACATAATTCATACAATGGCTTTAGTTTGGTAGACAGCATAGGTATAACTTTTCAACTCTGTGATATTTTTTGGTGAAGGTGCTTTCTGAATACATTCAATTTTTTCATCTGTAGGATGAATTCCTGATGCATCAACTCTATGACCTAGGAACATTACTGAACGATCAAAAAACATACATTTTCTTTCGTTAATTTTTACATTATATTTCAGTAATCTTTCTAACACTTTTTTAACATTCTGATAGCATTCATCCCTCGTACAACCATGCACCAAAATATCGTCTAAATAGCATTTAGTCTTTGGTAATTCAGATAAAATAACCTCCATCACACATTGAAAAATTCCTGGAGCGCTACTGACGCCATAGGTTAATCTGTTAAATCTAAAAAGACCAATGTGGGTATTTATTGTGAAAAGTTCTTTAGAAGCATCACTTATCTGAAGCTGCTGATAAGCCCCTTTTAAATCTAGAACACAGTAATACTCACTACCATGTAATGTAGCAAAGATATCAGAAGGTAATGGTAAAACACAATGGTCACTGTCAATTGCTAAGTTTAGCGTTTTTTTGAAATCAACGCATATTCTGACATCTCCAGAGTATTTTTTTGGGACTACAACAATTGGACTTGCCCAATTGCTGTGGGATACCTTGGTCAAAACACCAGACTTGACCATCTTGGTAAGTTCCTCCTCGACTTTCGGTTTTAATGCAAATGGCATTTCATATGCCCTATGAAAAATAGGTTTGAATCCTTCTTTTATCTTTATCTCAGCTTTAAAATCTTTGATTGAAGTGTGTGGTTCTTCCTCAAAGAGTGACTTATACTCTTGTTTCAAAGAAACAATCAACTTCAACTT